GAGGCACACAATAACCAATATCTTCATAACCCGCAAGAAGATCAAAATAAAAACGATATGATGAAATACCTACTTGTACTTAGTTACGAACAAGGCCGTTTCTTACATCAAAGTTGAGGAAATTACCAAAATGGTGCATAACCAACTCAACATCGCTAGACCAAAGTTCATAAGCAACCAGAACTCAGAACACAGAACAGTTCATGAGGCAGCACTTAACTAACCCTTACAAAGGCGAGTCACCAGGCCATGGATAAGTAGTTAACATGTGCATCTACTTACGAAAGTTCTTCCTCAGCGTCCAGATTTATGCCCCCTAGTTCACCGCCTGTAGGAACAGGCAAGCGGGTACCTAGTTGCTGCGTTAACTTCATGGCATTGCGGAAGTGTGGGCAGTCTGCTTTACTTTCAGGAACCCCGTTGCTGCGGAACCATTTTGCCCAAGCTTTGCTAAGCTTTGATCTTGTCTCCGTCTCTTTCTTGAATATCACGTCGACTCGAGTTTGTGTCAGTACCCGGCTTGGCACAAGACCTGTGTCGATTCCTTGAACTCTGCTGTTTGATTTGTCTAACATATCTGTGGAGCGAGAAGTATAAAGGATTAAACCACATGTTATGGTTGCTGCAATGTCCCCAATCCCAGATGATCATTCTACATAATGGATATTGCTAATGGCAAACCACAAATCTGCTATTAATTGATTAACATGTTATGGTTTTCCTCCTCTCCTCCTTTCCTCCTGACCTCTCTCCCCCGAGGCGGCGGCACCGCGCCGCCCCCGGGGAGTCCCCGTCCACACCGCCCTCAGCCCTCCCCCTCCATCGCCTCGCACTATCGCCGCCGTCGCTTTGGACGCCGCGGGGCGAAGCCCCTGTGGTGAGGCGGCGGCGGCGGCGGCGTAGTCCTCGGCCGGTGGTAACGCGTGGGGGCAGCGGCGTCCATCTCCCTCCTCTTCCAACGGCAGTGCGCAGCGGGTTGGCGGTGGCCAGGAGATCTCCGGCGGCCGTTGGCGGATGAGATTTTGGCTGCGATGAGGTCTGATCTGGGCCCGAGGGGTTTAGATCGAGATCCACTGCAGTTGCGCCTCGTCTCGACAACGGCAAGAGGAGATCTCCCATGGGTAATCTTCGCGGCACGAGGACGTCCGGGTCTCTTGGCCCGGGCATGGTGGTGGTGGCTGCCTTCTCCACCGAAGGCGGTTGGACAGGCTGGTAGCGACGGATCTTGGATCCCACTATTAGCACCGGCGGCGAGTTGGGGAGATATAGTCGCTGGTGAAAACCGAGTCGACTCCGGTCATGGCAGGCGATGGCGGCGTCTACGTCGCTACCTTGATGAAGGCATAGTCAAGCAACTATGGTCAACCAGCTCGTGCCGCTCTGGGAGAAATCCTAAGATCATCGGATCGGACGATGGTGGCGCTGTGGTGTCGTGTTCCCTCTTGGGGGCATCGTTTGTGGAGCGGCGCCGGATGGAAGAGGCGTGAGGTGGTGTGGCGTGCCTTCTCTCGCGTCGACGACGGCGGGTCTCGGCGTCATGGAGCAGCAGGGTCTCGGCACTGGACGTGGTGTGATGGCCTCGCACAGGGCGGTGGCGCTGTCTGGCGCCATGGTGGCGTCGACAGCTGACCTGACAAGGTCTTTGCGCCAGTACCTGCTCTGAAGATGGTTAGGTGGATGATGGTGGCGGTAGCCTCGGTGAGTGCGCCGGACCGATGTGTGACCCATTCCCGGCATGTGGCTAGGATGGGGCATCCAGCATTAGATGTTAGGTTTTGGTGCGATGTCTGTTTGGTATTAGGCTCGGACATTCGGCACCCCTGCATCAAGGGGATAGGAGTAGCGACACATGTCGCCTAGATGGTGGCTTCGGGCTTACTGATGTAATGCTTTGTAAGGTCTCTGAAAATAATTAATAAAATGGCCGCATGCATCACCCAGATGCAGAGGCCGGGGGTAATCCTCCTTTTCTAAAAAAAAACTCCCAAGTGGCCAATGTCTAACTGGCTATAGACACACAAATCAAGTTGCATGTATGTTTTTTTTTTGTCAGTCCCAAGTTGCATGTATTTTACCTCCTCCTGGTATGGTTCGGGTCGAGGCAGCTGCAGCAGCAGCATTGTCTCCTACCGCTCCTGCTCCCCTTGAAGCAGGAACCATGATGCTGCCATCCTTCGCCAGAGATCTGGAGATGCCACCAATTCTTCTTTCACATACTGACAGGTCACTCACTAGCAGGGAGAACTGACGTCAGATTGAGAAAATGGAAAAAGAGAAGTGATGAGAAGGGAGACTAAAAAGGTGCAAGAGGATGCACTCAGACCTCAATGTCTTGAGTCTGAGTGTGAATAGGTGATAAGCTTTGTACATATATGATATAAAAACAGAAAATGATGGAAGGCAACTGAGAAACAGAAAATGCCAATAAAAATTAAATGAGCCTCTTTGGATAATGACAGTAAACGGCTAAACGCACCAGATTGTACAATTGAAAAGGTCAGCGTCAGAAAGAAGTATCTAAGATCTGAATGCTGAAAGGCTTACACTTAGACTTGCAGCAGGTCTCCTCAACAGAAGATAAAGGGAGGTAGTTATTGCATACAAGTTTTCTCATATTACGGATGTATGATTAATAGAAAGATTTCTAGAGACGAACATTATACTATCACGGAAAAATACTGAATGAATAATATTACTAGCTTTGTGCTTCGAAATGGGCCAAACAACCACTAAATTGCTTACCTATAATATCATGCTATCAGAGTTTAAACTTAATTTTAGTTTGTATCTCGCAAATTTCCAGCTGCCGTATGCAGCCCATCCTCAAAAGATATGTAATATTGGTACATACGAATGGACATAACCATCGTATAACGTATGTATAGAAAGAAATCAATAAGCTTTTGATTTTAACGATTTTGCCAGATCCTGTAATGGATTTCTACACAATGTCATAGAATAAATTAGTTAACACTTCCGCTTCGGTAGACCCTCTTCGTAACGGAGGGCACGATGGGCAAAAATCAAAAAAGAGGCCGCCCGCCTGCCGTCCCGCTCGTAATGTATACGTATACGTGTACACTTTTGTTTTTTTCGGCCGGGTTGTCCCGCCAGCGCGCCCACCCCGCACGCCCACGTCCCCTACGCTAATTACGCGCGAACAGGCATGCATGCATGCATGGATGGCGCGGTTACGGGCCCCGCTGCCGATTGCAGCGCTGCGGCCAGCCCCCGCTTCCGCCTCGGCCTGCGGCGCCCGCTTCCGCCTCGCGTCGGCCGCCCCCGCTTCCGCCTCGCGTCGGCCGCCCCCGCTTCCGCCTCGGCCTGCGCCGCGCTGCCG